TTTTTTTTTTTTTTTGAGACATCTTTTTTTTTCTTGCTTTGTCACTCAGGTTGAAAGGCAGTGGTGTGATCACGGTTCACTGCAGCCTTGAACTCCTTGGTTCAAGCAATCCTCCCACTTCAGCCTCCCGAGTAGCTGGCATAAGTGCATGCCATCATGCCTGGCTAACTTTTGTAGTTTTTGTAGACACGGCTGGTCTTGAACTCCTGGACTCAAATGATCCTCCCTTCTTGGCCTCCCAAAGTGTTGGGATTATAGCCATGAGCCACTGCACCTGGCCTACTGACATCTTTTAATGTTGCATATCTGAGTGAGGTTTCCTTTTAGGACTTAAGAGGTCATGTAGGCACATTTCTAGATTGGTTGGTGTGAGAACTCTCAGACAGAGGAGGATTTGTTCAAGCACACATAGTACATTGGTGTCCAAGCTGGACCCAGAGGTCAGGTTTTCTACTGCTCAACTCAATGCTGTTTCCATACTATCCAGCCACCTCATCCAGGCTTCAGAGCTGCTCCTCAACCTGCGTTGTTTTTAGCTGACTTTTCCTCCCATTTCTCTCAGAAATAATTCTATTCTAAACTCTCATTGTCCTCTTCAAGTCTCCCACCTGGCCATTACCCAGCTTTTGCCTCCCACCTGGTTTTTTTTTAGAAGATGGTAGCTGTTATGGTCCTTTCTCTTTAGCTTCCATTCCCTTTATAAACCTATGTGGCCAGCACTGTTTGCACTTCCTCTTTCCTGGTCTTAGAGGTCTTACCTTCCCCTCTGTGCTCTTGACCCCACTCTTGACTCTATCCTTCCAACATCAACTCCAGGAAATTGCTCTACTCATCATCTTCTCTGTTAGCTTAGAAATGTTATCAAGTTTCTCTCACCTCAAAAACATTTATTCTTAGACTTGACTTCCTCCTCTATCTACCATGCAGTCTCTTCTCCCTGCTCATCCAAATTTCTTTAAAGAATCGTCTACACTTGCTGACCTCATCACCTGACCGTCACTGTCTACCAGTTTTCACTTGGCTTCCACTCACAATATCCCACTGAAACTGTGCTAATTCACCCGTGTCGGGTATTCTGCCACATCCCACGGATTTAAAGTTTTAAATATATTCTTATATTAGTGGGCTCTCTTTAACATTTTATACTCTTGGTAATTCTCTCCTTCTAGAAGCTCTCTACTCTCTTGGTTTCCAAGGTATTGCACACATCTGATTATTTCAGCTCTTTGATTTTCCTTTTATCTCTTTCCTGAAATTTACTTTTTCCTTTAACTGCCCCTTAAAATTGGTGCCCTCACTGTTCCATCTTCAGCCTCCTCTTCCTCACATAGTACTGATGTGACTTCAGCAAATTCCATGGTTTTAACTTCCCCTAGTATGTCCAGATTCCAGGCATCAACCCAGTTCATCCACTTCCTACTGGATCTTCCCAATGGAATATTCGTGCAGGCATGCATACTGTACCTTACAGTCAGTCGGGCACCATGAAAACTAATCTCTCCAAGGAGACTATAAATTCCATAGTGCATAAGCGTTTTATTCATTTTTATTTCCTCATGGCCTATCACATATTAGGATCTTACCCATCTTTGTTGACCAATTGACCAACTGCCCAACTGAGTGAATGGTCGTTTCATAGGTTGACTGCTAACCCCCAGCTCTGAACAAGGGAACATATACTTTTTCCTTTTAGTTTCCTGGCCTATGGCTTTTTGAGCTACGTTCAAACCTAAGATGGCGGTAACAGGGTCCTCTCTTTAGCCAGTTAAGCACTCTGTTTGGATTTTTCAGAGACAAGGATTTCTTCTCCGCCATGGGACACTGTTTCTCTCTAGCAGAGAACAGTTAGAGGCTCCATTTTTGGCTTTCTTTGAACACTAAGGTGACAGCAGAAGTAGCTTCAAGTTTAGGGATCCCAATATTCCTGTCTCCCCAGTCATGGCTTCTTCCCTTGAGCCCTTCCCCAGGCTGCCAGACCCCTAGTAGGCCCTTACCTTGAAGAAGAGTGACAGCCAGGATGAGGCCAGCCAGGCCCTTCCCCTGTTCCATGTCAGTCTCTGTCCTCTGGCAAAAAGCGCGGAGCAGCCCTTAGCAGCCAGTCAGTCTGTGCGGCAGCTAGATTGGCCCCACCCATCTCCGTTCAGGCTGGGGCCCTTGAGAGAAGGCAAGCACCCAGAGCCTCCACCCTCTGCTGCAAGCGTGGGCAGCAGGGGCCTCAGCAGGGGCCTCAGCAGGGCTGCAGGTGCAGATGCCTTTTGTTTTTCTGTTAAGGAGTAGAGGGTGGAGGTGGTGAGGAAGGAGAGGGAGAGGGTGCTGGATTCCCACTCAGAGCTCATCTTGCACAGGCACCCGCAGTGGATGCTGGGTGGGAGATGGTCCTGGGACCTCTTCTTCAGGAGAGAGAGAAATATCCCTGTCATTAGTTGTTAGGATTGTAGCCAGTTGTTACTCGTTGCTAGTTGTTGTTGCTATAGGTAATGAATTTAGGAGGGGTTCTCGGCTGCTTGTGGCTGGACCTCTGAATGGAAAGCCGCCTCAGTCCAGGCCTTCATTCAGGATTTTTTTTCACCGTTTATTTTATCTTATTTTATGATGGAGTCTCCCTCTGTCGCCCAGGCTGCAGTGCAGTGGTGTGATCTTGGCTCACTGCAACCTCTGCCTCCCAGGTTCAAGCGATTCTCCTCCCTCAGCCTCCTGAGTAGCTGGGGCTACAGGCACATGCCAGCACGCCCAGCTAATTTTTGTATTTTTGGTAGAGACTGGGTTTTACCATGTTGGCCAGGTTGGTCTCCAACTCCTGACCTCATGATCCACCTGGCTCAGCTTCCCAAAGTGCCAGAATTAGAGGCGTGAGCCATGGCGCCCACCTTCACTGTTCTTTTGAGGTCATGAAAGAGGTGCCTGGAAGGAAATAGGTGGAACGATTCCAAGAAGACGGGCACCACATTTTCAGGGGTCAGAGCTGGGACTGAGTATCCAGGATCTCAGGGCCCTGTCTCCCTCAGCCAGTCAGTGAGTGAGCCAACAAAAACGTGCAGAGGTCCTGATATGTGCCAGGCACAAGATACAGCAGTGAGCAAGACAGGCATGGCTCTGTCCTCAGGTAAATGACAGTCTAACTGCAGCAGTGTGAAGCATTTCAGATCCTTGTTGGCCACTGCTGGAGAAGGTCCATTTGTCTCCCCGGGAGGCTCAATATTGCCTGTGAGTCAATTATATTATTATTAATAACTAGCCCTTATTGAGCACATACGATGTGTGAGGCACCAAGCAAACATCCTTGTTTGAATCTTTACATGGGACTAACGAAATAAGGCTCTGAAAAATTTCATGGCTGGCCCAGGCCCCACAGGTAGGCAGTATTGGACCCAGGATTCAACTCTTTGGCTGAGGTCTCTAAGGCCCAGCCTCTCACTGGCAAGAAGCTGCTGGATCTCGTGTCCCCAGTTGCCCAGCGAAGGGTCCTGAGAAAGACCAGCCTCCATGAGAAACCTAGCTGCTATGGCTTGTGCTATGGGGCTGATGGCTTCTCTCAGGGAGCTTTGGGATGTAGCAGTTTTTAGGTGGTGAGTAAATGTAGTTGCATTGTGAGTAGGGACTCTAAAGTTCCGGCTGCCTTTTCCATATTCTCTGCCAGCTCCCTGCTGAGAGATACAGCAATTTACACCTGCTTCCTTCCTAACCTACTCCTAGCCCACCCCCACCCTGACAGTCTCCCGTCATCAACGGCAGAAAGCAGAGAAGCAGACATCTTCTAGTTCCTCCCCCACTCTACTTTTTCCGGTACCTAGAGTCAGTTGGGGGAGGGCAGCTCTCACCCAGGCTGTTAGTTCGGTGACCTGGCTTTATCTACTGGATGAGTTCCGCTGGGAGATGGAACGTAGCATGTTTCTGTCTGGCCTGGTACTGGTTACCCTTCTCCCCCAAGGTAAGGCTACTCCAGGTGGGTGGGGGAAGGGACCTGAGAGGGACATTACTGCTGGGAGTGAGGCCCACTTGAAAGTGCTCCTTGCTGGGCATGGTGGCTCATGCCAGTAATTCCAGAGCTTTGGGAGGCTGAGGTGGGAGGATCCCTTGAGGTCAGGAGTTTGAGACCAGTCTGAGCAACGTGGTGAGACTCTATTTTTACAAAAAACAAAAAAATTGGCCATTCATGGTGGTTACAGCTGTAGTCCCAGCAACCTGAGAGGCTGAAGCAGGAGAGTCACTTGAGCCCAGGATTTCAAGGTTTTAGTGAGCTGTTATCATGCCACTACCCTCCGACCTGGGCAACCCCATGAGACTTCATCTCTCTCTCTCTCTCTGTCTCTCTCTCTCTCTCACACACACACACACACACACACACACACACACACGTGCTTCTCAGTGCCAGCTTCAATTCACCAGGCACCCCAGGGTGTCAGGATGGCAGGGCTGGGATGTAGCATAGAGTCTGGGAAACAGGCTCTTGACTTTGACCGACTCCAGCCACGGGTGCATTTAGGCCTAGAATGTCTCTCAGAAGGCCTTAGGCCAGAGATCTGTAGGAAATAGCTCAGTATGTATGTACCTGAACCTGGGGCTGGTCTTGGGAGCACAGCTTCTTGCACTATTCCTTTTAGGGCTGATGGCCTCTGTAATCGGGACTCTTGTTCATTTGGCCATAATTATGTCACCCCTGGAGCTATGTCCTAGCACTAATGGGAATGCTTTGGGAGAAGTTAACTTTAGATTGAGCAGAAGGGAGGGAAGATTCGAGGGGTTATCACATAGGAGGATTTCAACTCATCTCAGTTTGCCAATTTCACTTTTAAAATGGAAATTCCCATGTCCCAGGAACCCCTAAGCAAACTGGGTCCAATGGTCACCGAATAGTTGGCTGCACTAGGACACTCATGATTTCCACTGGAGACAGATCCCTGAAGAGGATGCGACTGTAGGATGTGAAGCATTTGATGTGCATGTGTCTCTGTGAGTGGACACGCATCTACTTCCAACCTGCTTCAGAAGTGCGAGCAGCAGCTATTTTAGGGTTTTCTAGAAGATGCTCTTGTATCCAAATTCGTGACCCAGTGTGAAGCCAGATCGAATGAATGTAGTCTCCACCTTTCCCTGTGTTTGGAGGTATAGACTATAATGCTTCTGTGGGCTGTGGAGATGTGCTCAGGCTGTCAAAGCAACTCACTGCATCTGGAATGGTGCTGGACTCACCTCCAGCCCTTAAACTCTCCCCCAAGACTTGACTTGTGAGGAGCTCCAGGAACGGATTGAATAAAAATTTTTTTCTGTTCTCCTCCTAACTAAGGGTGGAAAATCTGTACATGGGATTTGTCCTGGTCCCCTTCTGGATCACTGGGCTGGTAATTCGGGGGCCGGTAAACCAGCTGGTCTCCACCCACAGCCATCCCTGGCCCTGGGAAAGGCTTCAGTATTGAGAGCCCCCTTTCTTTGTTATCACTGGAGCAGGGGCAATGAGGAAGGATGAGGACAAGGAGTTGAAGTGAGAGTGTTGTAGATGGCTGGAAAGTAGAATTAGATGTTTCCTTGAAGAAAAAATGCAGACATTTCCAACTGAGGAACGTTCTTCTGTCTTTCCATATCTTTCTGGTGTTTCAGTGGTCCATGACCCCCGTACTCCTCATTGGCGTTCTGGACTCATTTCCAGGAAGGTGCTTGGATCAACCGTGCTCTGAGGGGTCTTCTTTTGCCCTAAGTCCCCCAAGACATGTCCTCTGCTTGAACAGCATCCTCCTGTCCCCCTTGGCCCCTGCAGTTGGCAGGGAATTTTCTGAAGGTTTCTTCTTGTTTGTGACTTCTGTCTCTCTCAATAGAAATCATAGACTCTCCTTGACTATGAAAGTGGTCCTTTTTAAGTATGAGCTTCTGCAGCACAAAGGGCTTGGTGCAGACCAAAGAGCTATCTCCAATTGTGGTATTTCTTCCCCTTTAGTGAGCCCCTTCAAGATACCTGTAGAGGAACTTGAGGACAGAGTGTTTGTGAATTGCAATACCAGCATCACATGGGTAGAGGGAACAATGGGAACACCGCTCGCAAACAATACAAGCCTGGACCTGGGAAAAGGCATCCTGGACCCACGAGGAATGTATCAGTGTAATGGGACAGAAAAATATGCCGGCAAAGTATCTACCGTGCAAGTTTATTATCGAAGTATGTGCTTCCTGGACCTTTTGGGTTGGAATGGATGGGGCTTCTGGACTTTCAGGTTAGAGGGGGCTGTGGTGAACCCATCTGTTCTCTAAACAAACTGAGGTCACTATTGCAGTGGTACAAGCTAGATTTGGGCACCTTTGAAGTGGAAGAGAGAGCTTAACTCAGCAAGACAGAGCAGTAAGGGTCATGTTACAGCAGCCTTGGTTGGGTGAAAGGTTTGGCCCACCACCTTGTGCAAGGTCCCACAAAGCTTAGATGACTTCTTGGCTCTCCTCAGGGATTCCTCAGGATGAAAGGTGGAGGAAGGTGTGGCAACGCTATTACCAGGCCCTATTCCCAGGGTCTTATTGAAGTTTGGGTTTTGGCATGAGAGATCTCAGGGTTGCCTTAGGAGGCCGAGATGGCTCCCTGATCTTAAAGGCTCTCAACCTCTCCTCTCTCCTCCCTTCCCCCACAGTGTGCCAGAACTGTGTGGAGCTGTATCCAGCCACCCTGGCTGGCATCATTGTCACTGATGTTATTGCCACTCTACTTCTCGCTTTGGGAGTCTACTGCTTTGCTGGACATGAGACTGGAAGGCTCTCTGGGGGTTAGTGGAAGAACAGTGCGTGTGTGTGTGTGTGTGTGTGTGTGTGTGTGTATGTGTGTATACCAGTGAGCTTATGCACCAGCTAAGGAATGGGGCTGGTGGTAGGTTTACTGTCACCTGGGAGTTACTCTTGCAGTCTCCTAAAGACTCCTAGAACCTTGACTTGTTGAAAGAATTTGTGAGTTCATATCACTCATGCAGACTTCTGAGGGTGTGGGTGAGTGGGTCTCACTGTCCCATCCTGCTAGGCCGTTGATATCTCTCTCTGGTTCTTCTAGCGGCTGACACACAAGCTCTGCTGAGGAATGACCAGGTCTATCAGGTGAGCCCTGAGGGGAAGGAGGGGGTGGTGAGTAGGGACAGAGAGGCTGACACTGAGTGCTATTTGCACGTGGAAGGGTCCTATTGGGGAGTTCATCTCTGGGTGTGGCTGGAGAGGTCAGGCAGGAGCTCTCATCATCGGAGCCTGCTGGGGCCCTTCCTAGAAGAGTGCTGACCCTGCCTCCTGACCGTTCCCTCTTCTCTCTTAGCCCCTCCGTGATCGAGATGATGCTCAGTACAGCCGCCTGGGAGGAAACTGGCCTCGGAACAAGTGAACCTGAGACTGGTGGCTTCTAGAAGCATCTGTTATCGACTATATCTTTCCTTCTTAGTTCAGCCAATAAATATAACCTCTTTTACTTGGCAGGTGCCTGGACTTCTTAAGGCTCCTGGGCAAGGCATGAGGATTGTCCTGACTTGGCCAGGATCCTTCCCTCCTGCCCCCCGTTTCCTTCCTTCATCTCCTTCCTTCCTCTGCCCCACAGAGACAGTGCGTTGGGCAGTCTCCCACCACATCCTTGGCTGTCTGGGGTTTTTAGCCCACAGGGTTCCCTGCGTGAAGGGTCTGCTCCACCATGTTCCCCAGCTACTTGTTGACTCCAGTCCCTATGATAACCTTTTTAGGGTTTTGGCTGCCTCATCCAGCTGAGGGTAGGCTGCTGTGTTCAGGAGCCCAGCCACATAGAAGTTTCCATGATGTCATGAACAGGGGTGGCAGAGACAACAAGGGGCCCTGGGACTAGTTTCTCACCAAGACTCAGAGGGCGTGTGTGTGACAAAGTCCCACTGCTGTTAAAGGGATGGCCTCAACTCTACAGCCCTGCTGAGCAGCGGCCACTAGCTGTTAGTCTCAACCTAAGTCTCTTTCATACCCCCTTCCCCTATGTTAAAGGCACCATTTTAGCTTCCTTGTGCCAGGATCTGTCCCTGACTTGTTCCTGCCTTCTGCATGATAAACTGGGATTAGAAACTCTTCACCAATTAAAGCACATTACCCTGCTCCGTCTACTTGGAAAGCAGAAGTTTGAGACAGGTTTTTTTTTTTTTTATGGAGTCTCACTGTGTCGCCCAGGCTGGAGTGCTATGGCATGATCTTGGCTCACTGCAACCTCTGTTTCCTGGGTTCAAGTGATTCTCCTGCCTCAGTCTCCCAAATATCTGGGATTACAGTCATGTGCCACCATGTTCAGCTAATTTTTGTATTTTTGGTAGAGACAGGGTTTCATCATATTGGCCAGGCTGGTCTTGAACTCTTGAACTCAAATGATTCTCACACCTCAGCCTCTGAAAGTGCTGGGATTACAGGCATGAGCCACTGTGCCTGGACTAAAACTTTTAAAGCACGTTGTTTTGGCTACTCTAAGTCCTTTGCACTTCCATTTGAGTTGGCTCCTCAGTTACCACAAAAATGCCTGCTGGGACTTTGATCAAGATCGTATTGCATTTATAGATCAATTTCGGGAGAATTAACATCTTAACAATATTGAGTCTTTCATACATGAACATATATTTTGCCAGATTTATTCCTAAATAGTTTATATTTTTGATGCTATTGTAAGTGCTTTGTTTTTTTAGAGGCAGGGTCTTTCTCTGTCACTCAGGCTGCAATGCAGTGGTATGATCATAGCTCATTGCAGCCTCGAACTTCTGGGCTTAAGCAATCCTCCCACCTCAGCTTCTCAAGTAGCTCTGGCACTACAGATGGGTGCCACTATGCCTGAATATTTTTATTTTTGTGTAGACATGGGAGCTCACTATGTTGCCTAGGCTGGCCTCGAACTCCTGTACTCAGTGATCCTCCTACCTTGACCTCCCAAAGTACTGGGATAACAGTTGTGAGCCACTGTGCTAGGATATATATGGTATTAAAATTTTTAAAATTTCCAATTGTTTATTGCTAGTATATATAAATACAGTTAATTTTTGTATATTAATCTTGTACCCTGGAAAATTGTTAAACTCACTTATTAATTCTAGTAACTTTTTTTGTAAGCGCATTGAGTATTCTACATAGATGATTATGTTGTCTGTAAATGAAAACAGTTTGTTTCCTTTCCTATCTGGGTGTTTTTTTTTTTTTCTGTTTCTTGGCTTATTATACTGGCTAGAACCTCCAGTACAATGTCGAATAGAAGTAGAGAGAGGACATCATTGCCTTGTTTATGATCTTAGGAGGAAAGCCTTGTCTTTCATCTTTAAGTATTATGTTAGCTGTGGGTTTTCCTTAGATGTCCTTTAACAGGTTGAGGAAGTTCTTTTCTTTCTAGTTTGCTGAGAATTTTTACCAAAAATAGATGTCAAGTATTGTCAAGTGCTTACCCTGCATCCTTTGAGATGATAATGTGGTTTTACTTTGTTAATCTGTTAATATGGTAAATTACATTGATGGCACGATATGTTAAACCAACTTTGCATTCCTGAAGAAAACTCTAGTCATTTTGTATTATTCTTTTGATATTCTATTAGATTAAATTTATTAAAATTTTGTTAAGAGTTTTTGCCTCTATGTCATAAGAGGATTTGTCTATAGTTTTCTTTTAATCACTTTGTTTTTGGTATCAATATATTAGGATTCTCCAGAGAGACAGAACCAATGGGATGTGTGTGTGTGTGTGTGTGTGTGTGTATCTCACTTTGCTATTGTGAATAATAGTATAATAGTAATCTTTGTTATTTCTATTGTACTATTCTTGTGAATAGTAATCTTATTACTTCTTTGTCTACTTTAATAAATTACGTGCGCGCGTGCGCGCGCACACACACACACACACACACACACACACACACACGTATATATATCCCATTGGTTTAGTTTGTTTGTTTCTCTGAAGCCATGGGTTCTGCATTTGTGGATTTAACCAATTGAGGATCAAAAATATTTTTTAAAAAAAGGATGACTGCCCCTGTACCGAACATACACAAAACTTTTCTTGTCGTTATCCCCTAAACAATACAGTACAATAACTATTTGTATAGCATTTATGTTATATTAGGTATTACAAGTAATCTAGAGATGATTTAAAGTACATAGGAGCATGTGTGCAGGTTATATGCAAATATTACATCATTTTATATAAGGGACTTGAGCATCCTTGGATTTTGGTAGCCATGGGGAGATCCTGGAGCTAATCCTCCACCAAGGGATAGAACAACTGTGTACCCTATTGGTTCTGTTTCTCTAGAGAAATTGGGTCATGAAGCTGACATGTCTAAAATTTGCAGAGTATTGGAAAGTTGGAGATCCAGGGAGCTGCTGTTGCAACTGTCCATAGATGATCTAGAGGCAGATTTTCCTCTTCCTCAGAGGACCTCAGTCTGTTTTCTCTTAAAGCTTTCAAGTGATTGAATGAGGTCCTCCCACATTATGGAGGGTAATTTACCTTATTCAAAGTCTACTAATTTAAATGTTTATCTCATCTATAAAAATACTTTCACAATAACATCCTGATGTATTAGGCCAAATATCTGGGTATCATGGTCTAGCTAAGTTGACACATTAAAACTAACCGGGGTAATCAACACAGGGTAAATCTAGTCTCCACAGATGAGTTGGAAGAATTCCTTCTTCAATTTTCTTGAAGTGTTTGTGTAGAACTGGTGTTATTTCTTCTTCAAATGTTTGATAGATTTCACTAGTGTTGCTACCTAGGTCTGAAGTTATTTTTTTTTTTTCTAACTACAAATTCAATTTATTTAATAGATAAAGGGCTATTCAGGCTATTTCATCATTAGTGAGATTTTTCAAGGAATGTGTCCATTTTATCTGAGTTGTGAAATTTGTTGGCACGATTGTTCATAACTGCTATGGGCTGAATGTTTGTGTTCCCCTGAAATTCCTATGTTGAATTCCTAACCTTGAATGTGATGGTATTAGAAAGTGGGGTGTGGCGCCTCACCTCTGTAATCCCAGCATTTTGGGAGGCTGAGGCGGGCAGATCACTTGAGGTCAGGAGTTTGAGACCATCCTGGACAACATAGCGAAACAACATCTCTACTAAAAATATAAAAATTAGCTGAATATGGTGGTGTGCACCTGTAATTCCAGCTATTCAGGAGGCTGAGGCAGGAGAATTGCTTGAACCCGGGAGGCAGGGGTTGCTGCAAGCTGAGATCGCACCACTACACTCCAGCCTGGGTGACAGAGCGAGTCTCAAAAAGAAAAAAGAAATAATAAAAAAAGAAGTGGAGCCTTTAGGAGGTGATTAGGGCATGAGGGTGGAGCCCTCATGAATGGCATTACTGCCCTCACAAAAGAGTCCCCAGAGACCTCCCTTGCCCCTTCTATCTTGTGAGGATACGGTAAGAAGATATGAACCAGGAAATGGGTCCTTACCAGACACCAAATCTGGGAAATCCTGGATTTCCCGGCCTCCAGAACTGAGAAATAAATGTTGTTTAAGCCACCCATTCTATGATATTTTTATTATAGCAGGCTGAATGGACTAAAACAATAATATTCCTTTCTTCTTCTTCTTCTTTTTTTTTTTTTTTGAAACAGAGTCTCATTTTGTTGCCTGGACTGGAGTGCAGTGGCTTGATCTCAGCTCACTGCAACCTCCACCTCCAGGGTTCTAGCTATTCCTCTGTCTCAGCCCCCCGAGTAGCTGGGATCACAGGCATGAGCCACTGTGCCTGGCTAATATTTGTATTTTGGTAGACGGGTTTTGCCATGTTGGCCAGGCTGGTCTCAAACCCCTGACCTCAGGTGATCCACCTGCCTCAACCCGCCAAAGTGCTGAGATTACAGGCATGAGCCACAGTTCCCGACTTATTCTTTTAATACCTGTAGAAACTGTGATGTCACTTCTCATTCCTAATATTGGTAATTTATATATTTTCTGTTTTTTCCTGATCAATCTGGCCAGAAATTTATCCGTTTTATTGGTCTCCGAACCATCTTTTGGTGTCATTGATTTTTTTTACTTATAGATTATTTATTTCTAAAATATTTCATTGGTTTTTCAGTTTCCTAGCTTATTGGTGTCAGCTCTGATCTTTATTTTATTTTTCATGGTTATTCTTATATTATTTATTTTTGTTCAAATTGTGTTTATAATTGTTTAAAATTATTTTTCATCAATATGTGGTTTTGTTTTATTTTAAAAAATATTTTAACTTTTATTTTAGGTACAGGGCTACATGTCCAGGTTTGTCATACAGGTAAACTTGTGACTTGGGGGTTTGATGTACAGATTATTCCCTCACCCAGGTACTAAGCATAGTACCCAATTTTTTTTTTTCTGAAAGTCTCCCTCCTCCCACCCACCACCCTGTAGTAGGCCCCAGTGTCTGTTGTTCCCCTCTTTCCATCCATGCGTTCTCATTATTTAGCTCTCACTTATAAGTCAGAACATGAAGTATT